GAGAAATGGAAACACAGCAGAGTCTTGAAATAATAATAATAATAATAATAATAATAATAATAATAATAATAATAATCTTTATTTATACCCACCACCATCTCCCCAATGGGGACTCGAAGCGGCTTACATGGGGCCAAGCCCAGACAACATATTACATCAAAATAAAACCAAAACATAAACAACAAATACATATAAATACAATAACAAAATAACATTACAATACCTGCCCTCCCTGCTGCTTTTCTGGAGAACACTCATTTGTCACAAAGGGGTTGTTTTCACAATTCAAGCATTAGGGTATGAAAACAAGGGTCATTGACTGAAGTGAATAAATCCAAAAACAAGTCCTGAAAAAGGCCCAATTTTGCATTCCTGGGTGTGGCCAGATTCATCGTCCAACTGGATTAGCCAACAGTTAAAGTCATACAGGCAAGATGAGCACTTTTGGTAATTTTTTTTAAATGGGTAGCAATTCAGCTGAGTATCTAACCCGCTTAAAATACACACTGGAACAACCACTTGTACAAAGTAACACTAAGCGAACCCAATAAAGTGGGCTCTGATCTATGAATGCTTGTGCCATAATAAATGGGTTATTCTTTAAAGGACTACAAGACTCTTGATTGTCTGCATTTCAATAATGCAGTGATGATGGGACTTGGCCTCAATCCCTTTGCTAAAGAAGCAGTAGGACGAGAGCAACCTTCCGCACAAACCCTCCTTCCCCTCCCTGATGCTTCACTCATTCAATATCTCACCTCTTTCACCTGCACAGACCACGCTGTCTGTGCCCATAAACTCATTACGAACATGAAAAGAGAAGGTCAGCTCTACTGTTTGGCAGAGAAGGAGCCCATCTGTATATAAGCCACCTGTATATTTTGTTCCTCCTTCTCGCACAGCAAAACAGCACAAGGTAAAAATAAAAAAGTCCATCAGAATTCCTAAGAGGTGCCCCAGGAGTAAATGATTGATTTGATATTAACAGCTTCGTGCAGAGACTGTAAAACCATTGGTGAGGGGTGGGTGGGAAGGAAGGAAGGAAGGAGGGAAAGCTACCGATCTCTGGGAGATATCAGAAGCTCTGGAAACAAGAGACAACCATTGACAAACAAAGCAAGAGGCGGAGAGGCTGGGCTAGGGGCTAGATGGCACTGAATGCAAGTCTTCACATAGGTATACAGCATATAGCTTCTGGAGGAACTCTTTCCTGTCTTGAAACCACTTTCAAGGCAAAGCTGGCATCTCAGAGGAATGCAAAGTTTAATTCCAGGCCCTGCCACACAGCCACATAACCCAGAATATCAAGGCAGAATATTCCACAATATCTATCTACTTTTAATTGGGTTATCTGAGTCCCCTTCCACACAGCTGAATAAAATCCCACATTATCTGCTTTGAACTGGGATATATGTCAGTGTGGGATATACCTCAGTTCAATGTAGATATTGTGGGCTATTCTGTCTTGATAAAAGAGGTGAAGGTTTCCTCTTGACACTAAGTCTAGTTGTGTCTGACTCTGGGGGGTGCTGCTTATCTCCATTTCGAAGCCGAAGAGCCAGCGTTTTCAGTAAACACCTCCTAGGTCATGTGGCCAGCATGATTGCATGGAGTGCTGTTATCTTCCCGCCAAAGTGGTACCTATTGATCCACTCACATTTGCATGTTTTCAAACTTCTAGGTTGGCAGAAGCTGGAGCTAACAGTGGGAGTTTACCCTGCTCCCTGGATTCGAACCTCCAACCTTTATGTGGAAGGGCCCTAAGTCCACAATGCCATATAGATAAAGGTAAAGGTTTCCCTTTGACATTAAGTCTGTTCGTGTCCAACTCTGGGGCTTGGTGCTCATCTCCTTTTCTAAGCTGATGAGCCCACATTGTCCACAGACACCTCCTAGGTCATGTGGCCAGCATGACTGCATGGAACGCCATTACCTTTCTGCCAGAGAGGTACCTATTGCTCTACTCATATTTGCATGTTTTCAAACTGCTAGGTTGGCAGAATCTGGGGCTAACAGTGGGAGCTCACATGGCTCCCTGGATTTGAACCACCAACATTTTGGTCAGCAAGTTCAGCAGCTCAGCAGTTTAACCTGCTGCACCACCAGGTGCTCCACACTGCCATATATTCCAGTTCAAAACAGATAATGTGGGAAGTCATTCAGCTGTGTGGAAGGGGCCTGAGTCCACATTGTCATATAATCCAGTTCAATGTGGAACCCTTCTCACCACCAACTGCCTCACACCTGCATTCTTCTACTAACATGGCACAGACACAAACCTGGCAGAGTGGCACTTAGCTCTTTTTAAGTGAGCAAGGGATCTTCACTTCTCTCTCTAGCTCTCCCGCCCCTCTCGTGTGACAACAATCCACATTCCATCGCTGGTGGCACACTATTCCTCCGCAGAGCTAGCATCCCAAGGCCCTTCCACACAGCCATTTAACCCAGAATATCAAGACAGAAAATCCCATAATATCTACTTTGAACTGGGTTATGTGAGTCCACGCTGCCATATATCCCAGTTCAAAGCAGATAATGTGGGGTATTATTCAGTTGTGTGGAAGGGGCCTCTGTCCACACTACCATATACTCCAGTCCAATGTGGATTGTATACAGTGGAAACCTTCTCACCACCAACTGCCTCATACCCGCATTCTTCTCAGTAGTACATTTTATTCATGAGACCATTGGCCATATCAAAAACATTTGACAAACATACACATACAGTACAACATAAACGTTCTTGTATTGTCAAAGGCTTTCATGGCCAGAATCACTAGGTTGTTGTAGTTTTTTGGGGGCTATATGGTTATGTTCTAGAAGCATTCTCTCCTGACATTTTGCCTGCATCTATGGCAGGCATCCACAGAGGTTGGAAGTTCTGTTGGTGTGTCCACGTTGGTTCATCAAGTGCTCTGCTCGGGCTGACACCTCCCAACAAAGGATTCCCCCCAGGCACTTGCTTAGTTTCCAACAGACGTCACAACCTCTGAGGATGCCCGCCAATCTTCTGGGTTTGAGTCTGTGGCATGAAGTGGATTAGGAGAAGAATGCTTATGGATTGTTGTATGTTTCTTGGGCTATATGGTCATGTTCTAGAAACATTCTCTCTTGACCTTTTGCCTGAATCTATAGGCAGGCATCGACAGAGGTTGGGAGTTATGTTGGTGTGTCCAGGTTGGTTCATCAAGTGCATGCTTGGGTTGACACCTCCCAACAAAGGATTCCCCCCAGGCACTTTCCTAGTTTCCATCAGACGTCACAACCTCTGAGGATGCCTGCCATAGATGCAGGCAAAACGTCAGGAGAGAATGCTTCTAGAACATGGCCATACAGCCCGAAAAACCTGCAACAACCCAGTGATTCTGGCCATGAAAGACCTCACAACCTCTGTGGATGCCTGCCAATCATCCGGGTTTGAGTCTGTGGCAGGAAGTGGATTAGGAGAAGAATACTTATGGATTGTTGTATGTTTCTTGGGCTATATGGTCAAGTTCTAGAAGTATTCTCTCCTGACCTTTTGCCTGCATCTATGGGCAGGCATCCACAGAGGTTGGGTGTCCATGTTGGTTCATCAAGTGCTCTGCTCGGGTTGACACCTCCCAACAAAGGATTCCCCCCAGGCACTTTCTTAGTTTCCATCAGACGTCACAACCTGCATCTCTGGCGGGCAACCTCAGAGGTTGTGACATCCACGTTGGTTCATCAAGTGCTCTGCTTGGGCTTATTTATTATTTATTATTGTGTCAGGAGTTGCTCCTGTTGTGAGAGAATTGGCCATCTGCAAGGACGTTGCCCAGGGGATGCCCGGATGATTTGATGTTTTTATCATCCTTGTGGGAGGCTTCTTTCATGTCCCTATATGAGGAGCTGGAGCTGATAGAGGGAGCTCATCCGCCTCTCCCCGGATTCGAACCTGCAACCTGTCGGTCTTCAATCCTGCCGGCACAGGGCTTTAACCCACTGCGCCACCGGGGGCTGACACCTCCCAACAAAGGATTCCCTCCCAGGTACTTTCCTAGTTTTCATCAGACGTCACAACCTCTGAGGATGCCTGCCAGAGATGCAGACAAACCGTCAGGAGAGAATGCTTCTAGAACATGGCCATACAGCCCGAAAAACCTACAACAAACCAGTGATTCTGGCTATGAAAGACCTCACAGCCTCTGTGGATGTCTACCCATAGATGCCGGCAAAAGTCAGGAGAGAATGCTTCAAGAACATGGCCATACAGCCTGAAAAACCTACAAGAACCCAGTGATTCTGGACATGAAAGACCTCACAGCCTCTGTGGATGTCTACCCATGGATGCAGGCAAAACGTCAGGAGAGAATGCTTCAGGAACATGGCCATACAGCCTGAAAAACCTACAACAAACCAGTGATTCTGGCCATGAAATACCTCACAGCCTCTGTGGATGTCTGCCCATAGATGCAGGCAAAACGACAGGAGAGAATGCTTCAGGAACATGGCCATATAGCCCGAGAAACCTACAACAACCCAGTGATTCTGGCCATGAAATACCTCACAGCCTCTGTGGATGTCTACCCATAGATGCAGGCAAAAGTCAGGAGAGAATGCTTCAAGAACATGGCCATACAGCCTGAAAAACCTACAACAACCCAGTGATTCTGGCCATGAAAGACCTCACAGCCTCTGAGGATGCCTGCCATAGATGCAGGCAAAACGTCAGGAGAGAATGCTTGTAGAGCATGGCCATACAGCCCCCCCCCCAAAAAAAAAAAACTCCAACAACCCACTGAGCCAAGGCTGTCCCCTACTCTCTTTAGCTCTCCTGCCCCTCTCTTGTGTGCGTACAACCCACAATAGTGGGACACTATTCCTCTGCAGATCCAGCATCAACCACAACGTTCTCCCAGATCTTTCCCATGCCTGAGCATCCCCCCGCGACGACGGGGCAATGCCCAAAGGCTCCACCGCACTCGGCGCCACGAGCAACCCGGTGAGAGGAGACCCGGTAGAGAAAGCTGTGCTCCTACCTGAGGGTGGCGCTCTCGCCTTGCTTGACGGTCACGTTGTCCATGGCCTTGGGGAAGGTGGCCTCTCCGCTGCGGACGGGCACTCCTGCGGGCACAAGGAAGAGGAGTCTGAGAGACAGGACCACCAGGCAGCGCCAAGGCAGCGCCACGCACCCCGCCAGCCCCATCCTCGCTCGGGGCAAAAGAGAAGAAGAAGAGCGAGGCTTGGGCGAGGGAGGAGAAGAAGAAGGAGGGATGAAGAGAGAGCTCAGCAGAGGAGAGCCAGCCCCGGAGATCCAAGGCTCCCCAACAGCATGGGAATCGGAGGAGGACTTGAGCAAAATGAGTGAGGAAGGAAACAAAAGGGAGGGAGGGAGGAAGGTCAAGGCGCTGCTGCTACTGCTGCCGCTGCTGCTTCTTTCTCTCCTCCTCCTCCTCCTCCTCCTCTTCTTCCTCCTCCTCCGTCTGTTTCCCAGATGCCACTTTCCGACTCCGCCGGGCACGCGCTGCGCAGAGCTGGCATCAAAAGTTTATAACCCAAGGAGGAGGAAGGAAGCGCAACTCTCTCTCCCACTGTCTCTCTTTTCCTTCTCTTTCTCTCTCTCTCCAAAGAGGGGAGGAGAGGCGCAAAGTCTTCCTTTCCCTCCCTTCCCGGCTTAGAAATGGACTTCGGTGCCTTGGCAATTTCCAAAAAGAGAGGAGAATACTAGATAGCAAGCCTTGTTCAGCACAGGCTCCAAAAGGTCCCCGACTCCCCGACTCAAATGCGCAAATCCAAGAAAAGCAAGAGGGGAAAGGAAAAAAGGAGGGAAGAATCAGCCCAGGCTGGTCAGGGAAGAAGAAGGGATGCAGAGGATGGGTAAGGAGGAGTCGGAGGAGTCTGCTGCTGAAGCTGAGGCTGGCTCTTGCTCTGTTGCTGCCGTTGCCTCCTTCTTCTCCTTCTCCTCCTCCTCCTGCCTCAAAAGCGGCAGCAGCAGCAGTAACAGCAGCAGCAGCAGCATCCCGGCTGGGCTGGCCGCCTTCCCTGCCAGGAGCATCTCCCCTGCATCCCTCTCGCGCGACATCCCAGGGTTGTCATGGCAGCCACTCCATCCCTGACCCGCGCAGACTGGGCGCCCGGGAAGGAAAGGGTCTCCTTCTTCCTCTCTTTCTCTCTCTCTCTCTCTATCTCTGTGTGTCCTCCTCTCTCCTCTCTCTCTCCGAAGGGATGGGGGCTGCGAAGGCTGAGAAGGAGGCGCAATTGTGTCCAAAAGGGGCCTCCTCCTCCTCCTCCTCCTCCTCCTCCACCCCACGCAGGGGACAGGGGCTGCCCCATGGCTCAGCCCACAGCCCACCCAGCACTGCAGCAACGCAGCAGCCAAACACGGGTACACACATGCAGATATACACACACATACACACTTTGCAGCCGAATGGAAAACACTGAGCGAGGCAGCCACTGTTGGGATTGGCTCCAGAGCTGTGTTTGGGTCCTGGGGTGTATTTTTTTTGACATTGGGTCACACAGAGCACAGCCTCAGGCAAAGACCCTCCAAGAACCTGGGATGTCCCACTATGCAACACCGTGAAATAAGAGACTTTCCTTGTGTTTCTTGCATTCTTTTGCAACAGAAACAGGAAACAGTCTTAACACTGTAGATGTTATGGTCAAAGAGTCCTAAATACCCCAAAGGCACCTGATGCCATCTGATCTTGTCCTCCACCCCATGCAGGGGACAGGGGCTGCCCCATGGCTCCGCCGGCAGCCCACCCAGCGCTGCAGAAATGCAGCAGCCAAACATGGGTACATACAGGCGGATACACACATATACACACTTGGCACTTGGAAAACACTGAGAGAGGCAGCTACTGTTGGGATTGGGTAGAGAGCTGTGTTTGAGTCCTGTGGTGTTTTTTTGACATGCAAGCTTTTGGGTTACACAGGGCGCAGCCTCAGGCAGAGACCCCCCAGGAACCAAGGATGCCCCACCATGCATACAACACTGTGAAATAAGAGACTTTCCTCGTGATTCTTGCATGCTTTTGCAACAGATGCAAGAAACAGTTTTAACACTGTAGAGGTTGTGGTCAAAGAGTCCTCCTAAATACCCCAAAGGCACCAGACACCATCTGATCTTGGAAGCTAAATAGCTTCAACTCTGGTTAAATGGGAGATCACAAACAAACACTAGGTTCCTCTGTTGCAAGGAACAGGGGCTCCCCCATGGCCCAGCCGACAGCCCACCCAGTGCTGCAGCAACAAAGCAGCCAAACATGGGCACACACAGACAGATACACACATCCACACTCGGCAGCCGAATGGAAAACACTGAGCACTGAGCAAGGCAGCCACTGATGGGATTGGCTCCATGGTTGTGTTTGGGTTCTGTGGTGTATTTTTTTACATTGGGTCACACAGAGCCCAGCCTCAGGCAGAGACCCTCCAGGAACCAGGGATGCCCCACCATACAACAGTGTGAAATAAGAGACTTTCCTTGTGTTTCTTGCATGCTTTTGCAACAGACACAGGAAACAATCTTAACACTGTGGAGGTTGTGGTCAAAGAGTCCCCCTAAATACCCCAAAGGCACCAGATGCCATCTGATCTTGGAAGCTAAATAGCTTCAATTCTGGTTAAAAGGGAGATCACAAACAAATGCTAGGTTCTGTAGGAGGCGCAACTGTGGACAAAAAGGGGGTCCTCCTCCTCCACCCTGCGCAGGGGACAAGGGCTGCCCCATGGCTCAGCCCACAGCTCACCCAGTGCTGCAGCAACAAAGCAGCCAAACATGGTTACATAGATGGATAGATACACACATACACACTTGGCAGCCGAATAGAAGGCAGCCACTGTTGGGATTGGCTCTAGAGCTGGTCCTGTGGTGTTTATTGACATGCAAGCTTTGGGGTCACACAGGGCTCAGCCTCGGGCAGAGATGCTCCAGGAACCAGGGATGTCCCACCATGCACAGAACAGTGTGAATTAAGAGACTTCCCTCATGTTTCTTGCATTCTTTTGCAACACAAACAGTCTTAGCACTGTAGAGGTTGTGGTCAAAGAGTCCTCCTAAATACCCCAAGGGCACCAGATGCCATTTGATCTTGGAAGCTAAATAGTTTCAACTCTGGTTAAATGGGAGATCACAAACAAACACTAGGTTCTGTAGGAGGTGCAATTGTGGGCAAAAGGGGCCTCCTCTTCCACCCCACGCAGGAGACAGGGGATGCCCTATGGCTCAGCCGACAGCCCACCCAGTGCTGCAGCAACACAGCAGCCAAACACGGGTACACATAGATGGACACATACACACTTGGCAGCTGAATGGAAAACACTGAGCGAGGCAGCCACTCCAGGGCTGTGTATGAGTCCTGGGTGTTTTTCTGACATGCAAGCTTTTGGGTCACACAGAGCTCAACCTCAAGCAGGGACCTTCCAGGAACCAGGGATGATACACCATATATAGAACAATGGGTCTCAACCTTCCTAATGCCACAACCCCTTCTACCAGCGTTTCTCAATCTGGGGGACGGGACCCCTGGGGGGTCATGAGGGGGTGTCAGAGGGGTTGCCAAAGACCACCAGAAAACAAAGCATTTTCTGTTGCTCATGGGGGTTCTGTGTGGGAAGTTTGGCCCAATTCTATCATTAGTGGGGTTCAGAATGCACTTTAATTGTAGGTGAACTAATGTCAAAGTCTATTTTCCCCAAACTCCACCAGTGTTCACATTTCGCATTTTGAATATTCATGCCAAGTTTGGTCCAGATTTGTCATTGTTTAGCATCCCCAATGCTCTCTGGATGTAGGAGAACTACAAATCCAAAACTCAAGGTCAATGCCCACTATACCCTTCCAGAATTTTTTGTTGGTCATGGGAGTTGGGTTCAATTCCATGCCGAGTTTGGTTCAATTCCATCATTGGTAGAGTTCAGAATGCTCTTTGATTGTAGGTGAACTAAAAATCCCAGCAACTACAACTCCCAAATGACAAAATCAATCCCACCCTAACCTCACCAGTATTCAAATTTGGGTGTATCAGGTATTTGTGCCAAATTTGGTCCAATGGATGAAAATACATTCTGCATATCAGATATTTACATGACAATTCATACTTAGCAAAATTAGAGTTAGGAAGTACCAATGAAAATAATGTTATATTTTGTGGTCACCACAACATGAGGAACTACATTAAGGGGTCATGGTATTAGGAAGGCGACTTATACAGTTCCTCATGTTGTGCTGACCCCCAACCATAAAATAATTTTCGTTGCTGCTTCGTAAACTAATTTTGCTACTGTTATGAATCATAATGTAAATATCTGATATGCAGGATGTATTTTCATTCTCTGTACCAAATTTGGCATAAATACCCAATACATTAAAATTTTAATACTGATGGAATTAGAGGGGGGTTGATTTTGTCATTTGGGAGTTATAGTTGCAGGGATCTATAGTTCACCTGAAATCAAGGGGCATTCTGAACTCCACCAACGATGGAATTGAACCAATCTTGGCACACAGAACTTCCATGGCCAACAGAAAATGCTGAGTTTGGTGGGCATTCACCTTGAGTTTTGGATGTTGTAGTTCACCTACTTCCAGAGAGCACTGTGGACTCAAACAATGATGGATCTGGACCAAACTTAGCACAAATACTCAATATGCCCAAATGTGAATACTGGTGGAGTTTGTGGAAAATAAACTTGGCATTTGGGAGTTGTAGTTGATGGAATTTATAGTTCACCTACAATCAAAGAGCATTCTGAACTCTACCAATAATGGAATTGAACCAAACTTGGCACACAGAACTCCCATGACCAACAGAAAGGGTTTGGTGGGCATTGACTTTAAGTTTTAGAGTTGTAGTTCACCTACAACCAGAGAGCACTGTGGACTCAAACAATGATGGATCGGGACCAAACTTGGTACGAAAACTCAATGTGCCCAAATGTGAACACTGGTGGAGTTTGGGGAAAATAGACTTGACAATTGGGAGTTGTAGTTGCTGGGATTTATAGTTCACCTACAATCAAAGAGCATTCTGAACTCCACGAATGATGGAATTGAACCAAACGTGGCACACGGAACTCCCATGACCAACAGAAAATACTGTGTTTTCTGGTGGTCT